TCACAAATTCATTTTTTCTTCTAATACAAGATTAGTTTTTATTGGTAACCATCATTTGTTGTGACATTGTGACAATTAGCTTAAAGCATAAATGTGTCATAAAGCATGGGAAATTAAATGTGTACTAAGTAGTTTTGCTGTTGATAGTGCTGAAAATCAGGCAAAGCCAGTTGGGTGTCCCTGCTTATATTAACTGTATCATCTGTTTCTCTTATTTCCAAAGAATATATCTCATAGACGACAGCTTATTGAAATGGTATTTAGTATTTATGCAGCTATTCTAACTGTAGGGACTGACTGATTCACATGATGGCACAATGTGTGTTGATGATACAGAAATTGGAGACGTGGGGTGTATTCTAGGGGTGACCAGTAAGATTAGGCATAAGCAAATTATTCAGATGATCTTTTACATCTAAATAATAACATATGAAAGGTAGTACATTTTGAAAATGGAATAAAATTTTGCGTGTAAAGTGCTGAGAAAAAAATGTGAATTACAGAATCAGCCTTTTCAGAACTTAAAGGCCCATTAAAATCTTGAATATGTATCTTCTTTTGCAAAATTTCATTTCTTTGATTACCCTTTGGGTTACTTCCTGCAGTAAAGTAGAATTTGCTTATACAAATGTGAAGTAGAATATTCTTTTCTAATTGCTTTGGTTCATTGCTAGGTGATAGAAAAAATCTTCTAATCTCTGCTGTTAAAATGGTTTTTCTAATGAAATTATGAGGCTTCTAAGACATTTCCTACCAATGATTCATCAGTTTCATCATTACCTTGTACCTGGTATCCCTTTGTTATTTACAAAGGATGGTTTCTATTTCTCATTACTTATTATAGTCGAATAAATAATAAAGTTAATTCTGCATTATCTGTAATAAGTTCAACAGTTTCAATATGTAAAAGAACTCTTCCTGCATATTGAGAGTAAAGAACTATATATATATATATATGGTTCTGGAAAGTCTTATAATGCCTTGAGACTAACAAATAATTCTGATTTCTAAAATGAATCATAAGGCCCTTGAGCCACTTTACTTAATTTTTCTTATTTCTAACCTGCCTTTCATGATTTATTTGCATCAGTATAGACTGTAGGAACTCCAGAAATTGATGTTCCCTTTATTATATGAGGGAGAATCCAATTAGTTCTTTTTTTTATAAATTGAAGTCTCTTGTTTTTGGATTAATTGTTACGAATCTCTCCCAAGAAATTACTGCATGTTCTTTGCCAGTGTCCATTTTTTTCCCTATAATGAGGAAATTTCAATTTCAATGCCATTTATTTTTAATTTTAGCTTTGGCCTTTGATCATTTATACAAGTTTGCCAAAATACTTGTTTTATTATCACTCCTGAAAATATTGTTTTATCTGCTGAATCTGTTCTGTCATCCACAGCTGTGTGGTTTTTAACAACAGGCATTATGTCTTTTAATTGCTCTGTGGAAAGGTTTAACCAATAGTGGCCAGGAATGATTGAACCAAATTTGACACTGGGGCTTGTGAGAGGCCCACAAAGGTGTGTTTCCTGATGGGAAAGGGTTAATTAAGTTACCTGTCTCATGTTAGTCTGCATTCATTAGTTCAGTGTTGGCCTTTGCCACACCTTCTACATATTCCAGAAGGCTGGGTGTTATATTTGGATTATTTCTAGTAAAATCATTGTTTCTAAGAATACCTTGACTACAATCTCTTTTTAGATGACCTAGTTTACCACAATTAAAATATTTGACTTTTTGATTTTTCTTAAAGTTTTAGCAATCACTTCTCTTATTTAAATATCATAATAAGTATGACATCCAATATCAGATATATTTTGGATCTACTCATGTATGGGTGCTGATCTTGACTTTGAAGGCCTAATCACCCTTTATTCTGAATTAGCATTTCCAAAAGCAAAATATTCAATTAATACTTGTCTAACATTTGGATCTAATATCATTCTGTTTGCAGCTCTGGTCAATCTTTGTGAAAAAACACCAGTGAAGGCTTCTTTTGGGCATTGTATAATTTTAATAATTAACTCATACCTCTTTCCTGATTCTTCAGCCTTGTCCCAAGCATTCAGAGCTGTTACATGGCATAGTTTGCATCTCTGGTCAATCTTTGTGAAAAAACACCAGTGAAGGCTTCTTTTGGGCATTGTATAATTTTAATAATTGACTCATACCTCTTTCCTGATTCTTCAACCTTGTCCCAAGCATTCAAAGCTGTTACATGGCATAGTTTGCAGCTCTGGTCAATCTTTGTGAAAAAACATCAATGAAGCCTTCTTCTAGGCATTGTATAATTTTAATAATTGACTCAAACCACTTTCCTGATTCTTCAACCTTGTCCCAAGCATTCAAAGCTGTTACATGGCATAGTTTGCATCTCTGGTCAATCTTTGTGAAAAAACACCAGTGAAGGCTTCTTCTAGGCATTGCATAATTTTAATAATTGACTCAGACCTCTTTCCTGATTCTTCAACCTTGTCCCAAGCATTGAAAGCTGTTACGTGGCACAGAACCAAGGTGTTATCTACAAATAGAGACTTTCTTTGCAAATCCACATACTGGCCCTCACCTAGAGCTCTTGGAAAATTTCATGCTCTATTTCATTGTTCTAGGAACCTAATTTCCTCTTTCCACCATGTTTTCCATTGTAACTGAGGACCAACTTCCAATACTGCTGTAAGTAAATCTTTCAGTATTGTGGAATAATTCTCTTCCTAGGTGTTCATGAATTTAACAACTATGTCACAAATGGTGAATGTATGCAATATGAAAGGACTGCTTCCTTAAATCTCTTCAAACCTAGCATTTCTACAGTATTCCAGTTAACTTCTGCATCATCTTGGAGATGCCTAATATCTGAAGGTCATTCTTGTATGGTAACTGGATAAATTAAGGCTGGTGTTCTAATAACGTTAGGTCATATTCTTCTGTTTCATAATTCATTGCCACAGTAGGTTCTGCTTTAACTTCCTCTGTCTGTGTCTAAGTATTTTTGCTATTTTCATCTGTATCTTATGAATCAAAGTTTTCTTATTTTCATTGGTAAGTCTTTGTAAGGCTTGTATCGCATCAGTCAAATTTTATTTGGCACAGTTATCAAACTGAAATCCTTTTTTAAAAAGTATTAAATCTTAATTGCAAAACTAATAGTAATTACAATCAGCATTATGTCAATCCCAGTTAAGGTGTTTCTCCCCTCATTAAATTTTCTGTTTTCAAACCATCCCTACTAGCACAATTCAGAGTCCTAGTGCCTTGCATTGTGATGTTACCCATTCTTAATGTGGGAAAGATTTTCTTTTTAATATTATTTACCTCTACTCCAAAAGACTCCTTAGGTATCCTGCCAAGTTTGCTGACTTCTCACTGTTAGTGTGTGTTTTCAGTGGTGAACTCAAGCCCTTCTTGCAATTTCCAAGTGCAAGCCTGCTTTCTGGAGTCCCAGCTAGTGATAGCTGGTTGCAGTCAGTGCTTGTGGGAAAGGACCCAGGCAGCAACTGTGGAAGAACTGGGTGGCATGACTGCTTTGTCCCTGTGCTTGTGCCCCATGTTGGGTGCCACACGTGTTAATTTCAGCAAAGTAGTGCTATGCCTTTATCTACTGTTATTTCAACCAGCAATTGCAACTCCACAGTTACTGGCCTGCTTTTCTAGCAGCAGCCTTGCTATTTAAGACAGGGTGGTGGTGGCGCACGCCTTTAATCCCAGCACTCGGGAGGCAGAGGCAGGCGGATCTCTGTGAGTTCGAGGCTGGGCTGGACCGATAGCCTCCAAAACAATACAGAGAAACCCTGTCTTGAAAAACCAAAAAAAAAAAAAAAAAAAAAAAAAAAAAAAGATAGGGTTTGATCCCACAGGTACTGGCCCTGTTGCTACCACTAAAGGTAGCTTTAACTAAATCTCCCATCTTTCTATTTTTAAATAAGACTAGAGATTCAAAGACGGGTGTAAACCTGTAAGCTCTGAGACTGAGTTGCAACTAGCTAACCCTCTCTCATTGCTGGCATCTCTGCCAAACCAGAAAAAGCTACATCACTCCAAACCCCTCCCTACTACTTCCTGTGTCTCTGTCTTCCAGATGCACTCTGATAGTCTATGATTACTTTTTGTCAACTAGTTACTAACTCAGCCTCCTGATCATTAATATTATTTAATCAATGGGAATCCAAACTTGGGTTTCACAGTGTGATTGAATATCCTCCAACACTCCAACTCAGAGATCCCCCTTCCCCTGACTCCCAAGCACTTCAATCACATGTGTGCAATACCATGCTGGCCCACTTACTTACATTTATGTAGTTGAGTGTCTTGTTTATGTATATTTTATGAACCACATGAATGCCTATTGTCCAGAGATGGATGAGGGTCTTGGTTCCATTGCAACTGAAGTTATGAACAGTTATGCATTGCCATGTGGATCCTGAGTGTCTAACTTGAATCTTCTGGAAGAGCAACCAGTGCTCTTGGCTACTGAGCCATCCTGCAACCCTAAACTCAGACTTCCTACATCTAGATAATTCCTTAAGAAGTAATTCCTTAAGAAGATTACTGACCTACTAATTTTGTGTGCCAGTTGAAGTGAGCTAGTGGTGATGAACTTTTTAGTATCTATATAATTAAAAGTATCTGTTCAGTTATGTTAATCTAGAATTCAGAGAATATGTTGTACATAGGCTTTTTTCAAGTACAAATTTGATATATTATGTTCCAAACTGTATATTATATATTCTTACTGTGATGAAGCTCTACTTTAGTGGAGTTTTTATTTGGACATTTTTATAATTTAGAAACAATGTATTATTAGTATGCTGCTTACTAATAGCTGTTGTCTGTGTTGATGATGAGACTTTCGACTTTATGAGTGGTTAGTATTTTTATTTACTTGTCAGAATTATGCTTATATGATTTTTGACTATATGTACATGTTAGCATACAGATACCTTTTTCTCCTTGTAATAGGAAACAATGAATAAGCTAATTTTTCCTGTTAAAATTTTAGATTACTGTGTAGCTGGCAATTGAAAAATATACTTAATGAATACCATCAGATAGTCCAACAGGTAAGTCTGTTAAAAGTGTTATGCTTTAAAATAAGGATAGATTTTACTAAATTTACTCTTTAAGGCTCTGATTTGTATACAAGCTGGTTTATTAGTTGCCGTGCTTTATGGATTTCAAGTATTTTAAAGATTGTGTATTACATAGAGTGTTTTCTAGAATCCTCAGCAAATGTCAAGGCATCATGGGGGTTTAAAATTATTTGCAGATTTGAGTCTTTATGTTTTCAAATGTGGTCACCCCATCTGTATATATTTCACTGATGATTTCTCTGCTGAACTTGTAGAGTAGTGACAGGAAAGAAAAATCTGGACCTAGATGTGTATGGCAGTAAGGATTTGCAGTCCTAGTTTATGAAGAGCAAAAATGAAAAGGAAGTCACTTAGGTCCCTGCTACCTTTCATAAAGAGAGGGGCCAAGGGTGGCTAAGGAGAGAGCTCAGCAGCATTAACTTATTCTTAGTGTTTGGTTTACCCTATCTGAAAAGTCATTAGGAGATTATAGAAACATTGTAAAAGAAGTTATTATTGAAACAAGTGAAAATGATAGAATGTCTCTTCCAAAAAAATGTTAGTAGAATTGCACTTGTTTTAATGATCTTTTCATTTGTGTGATTTTCCTGGGATTCCATATTACATTCTGTGTAATGCTAAAGATATGTTATTGTGATGACAGCAAGGATGCTCACTCTGCGAAGTGTCCCTGAGTCACAGAGGAGGTGGGAGAAGGACTGCTTGACTAGAAGAGTAAACTGTGTGCTAGTGTGTAAGCTCAGCTTTGCTGTAATGGAATGTTGAGACTATGCTTACTCTCTTTACCCTGCTCCCTCATTCTTGTGACTAATGTATACTATGCATGGAAGTTTAAGAACAAGCCCATTGAGTCATTTGTGCTCACAGCAGGTAAGCAAACAGTGGAACAAATATCTCATTTCCTCTGCTTATTCTAAAAGAAGAGTCCTAAAGTTGCCATCACTTACTTCCCCCCTGCCTCCCAGCCGGTCAGGTACAACTCAGTATTCAATTTTTTTGTTTCTTTTCAAGGTTCAGTAGAATGTTCCTAATTATTTCTTCTTCTACTTTGGGTAGACCCAAGCAGTCAACACACTTTTTATAAAGCTTGATCAGGTTTCATGAAAAACCAAGCCTGACAGTTGTAGTTCTGTGTTCTGACAGGAGCACCTAAAGAGGCATAAGTGAAGGACACAAGGGTGTGGTTACATTCCAGTACATTCTCGTTATAGAACAAGGCATCGAGCTGGGTTCAGCAGCTGGCCTGTGGATCTTGGGGCTTTGATATAAGTTGTCCTTGTAGAAACAGCAGTGGTTAAATACAGGCATGTATTCCACCATGATTTGCCTTCAGATACTGTTCAAATATCTTAATTTTCTTTTCTGAAAACGTGAAACAAGTTCGTATTTAGCATTGTTTAGAACATCGTAGGTCTAATGCAATGTATCACAATGTAAAGTAGAAACACAAAGCAAGCAGTGGTTTTTTTTTAAACAGAGAAATGATGTTGTGGTCTAAGAAAACATCCTAAGATGTGGCCGTTTATTCTATAGTTATTTTAAGGATAAAGAATTTTGTAGAACTAGAACACCAGATCTCTGAAATACTCATTCTGTTTTATAGGGGATAGCCATTTTTTTGCCATTTTATTATAATAGTTTTTATTTTAGTGAATATTTCTCTTTTAAAGTAGGATGAGGTGGCTGAGAAAGGATGAAAATGGCTATCCATGCTCTTAAAGGTCAAGAAACAAAGTACATGCCATTATTAATATATCTAGTTAATACATTAACTGGATGTCTTACTTAGGGTTTCTATTGCTGTAAAGAGACACCATGGCCATGGAAACCCTTATAATGGAAAACATTTAAATGGGTTGCCTTGCTTACAGTTCAGAGGCTCAGTCCGTTATCATCATGGTGGGACATGGTGTGCAGTCAGACATGGTAGTGGAGAATTAGCTGATAGTCCTACATCTTGCAGGCAACAGGAAGTGGTCTTAGACACTGGGCAGTATCTTGAACATATATGAGAACTCAAAGCCTGCCTCCATAGTGACATACTTCCTCCAGCAAGACTATACCTACTTTAAGAAGGCCACACTTCTTAATAGTGCCATCCCCTTTGGGGGTCATTTTCTTTCAAACCACCACACTAGATTTTGGAAGCTAGAATTTTATATTTTATGTTCCTCTTTTTATTTACATATCTTTACTTTGCCCTTCCCCTTTTTTTTAAATAATGCTTTTCTATATTTGTTAGGTCTTTCAGTGATGAATACTGAAGGAATGGAGGCAAGTGTGTAGTTTTAAGTGAATTCATCCAAAATTCACTACATTTCACCCAAATAGACTTGGGGTAGTCCTGGTTAGTTTTAATCAACTTGACTGATACAGACTTGAGCTATTGGGAGGATGAAGCTCAGTTGAGAACTTGCTTTTATCAGATGGCCTGTCAGCAGGTTGGTAGGGCATTTCCTTGTAGTGTCTGCTGTGGAAGGCCCAGCCTACTGTGATGATACCACATTTAGCAGGTAGTCTGGATGACAGAAGAAAGCAAGTTTAGCAAGCCCTTGGGGCAAGGCTCTAAGCAATGCTCTACTGTGGCCTCTGCTTTCAGCTCTTGCCTGGAGTCCCTGGCCAAGAGGGACTGCAGCGGTGAGCTGAAATAAGCCCTGTCCTCTTCACGTTGCTTTTGGTCATAGTGTTTATCACAGCAATAGGAAGTAAACTAAAACAGAAGCTTTAGTCGCTCTTCCAAATGAAATGGACAGGAATAGAAGTGATAACTAATTAATGCTATTAAGATTTAGATGTAGCTAATCCATTGCCCACATTCATTGCATTTTCAATGAGTGGAACATTCATTTCATGAGTTATTAATTGAAAATGTTTTCATGTAGAGAATGAAGCAGTCTCCTGATCTAGTGAGCTTTATGATGGAGTTGAAGATGATTTTGGTAAGATTTTTTTCCCAACACTGTTTTTGTATTAAGTTTTGGTTGCTTCTGAAACTTTTTAGTGGTATGTGTCTGTGTATTGATATTTGTATGTGTACACATGTGTGAAGCCATATGCACGTGTGTCTTTATGTTTGTGGACATACTAAACTATCAGTTTCCTCAATTGTGTTCCACTTTATCTTTGAGGTGTGTCTCTCACTGATCTGATGCTTGCTGATTTGGCAAACTTGTCAGACCATTGAGCCCCAGAGGTCTTCCAGTCCCTCCTTCCCCAGACCTGGGATTATGGGCATATGCTTTCATGTCTGACCTTTGGGTGATGGGAATTGAAGTCAGATCCTTTTTGCTTGCATGAGGTGTTCATACTTAATGACATAGCATAAAATGTAGTTATCTTTTATACAAATACAGATTTCTGAAGAGCCTTTTCAGTATGAACAAAGGAGGTGATTATAGTGAATAGCCTGAGTTGATGACCTAGCATCAATATTTTGTCAATCATATTTCTTGCCTAACATTTTTGGAAGAGATTATAGTATTTCAACAGGAAATTCTAGAGATTGTACCAATTTCTTTATAAATATATCTCTGTATATATCTTTAGCTAAGTGTTTTCTGCATGTTTCCAAATATTTAATTATGACTGGCTCATTAGGTACAGTCACTTGGTATGTAGACCTGGCAACCTGAGTTCAAGCTGAGAACTCTCATAGAGGTATAATGAGAGGACCAACACCACAAAGTTGTCCTTGGATGTTCACATGTATTCTGTGGGCACACATGCACCCCAACAAGTACACCATGATGGGAATAATGAGGGCAGTGGTAGTGGTTTTTGATTTATCAGATGGAAGGTTCCCACCCTTGACCTCGATGCTGATGTGAGGTTTAATTTATGTTCTCTTTGGCTTTTGTTTCTCTTCATTCATGTCCTTTGTGAACAAAACAAATCATGTGCCTATAAAATTTCTCACATTGCAAACTGAGTTTCTTAGACATCCGTGGAATCTTTCAGCCCACCCTCCTAAGGGTTGAGCATCCATTACCTCCAAACTAACATGTTTCACATACCCATCTTTCTGAACACTGCCATGGCAACACAAATGGCAGACATCACAGATTGAGAATTTGTGTCATGAAGAGAATTGCTAATGATATAGATCAAAATTTCATTCAGACATTGCATATAAGGAAAAAATATGAATACTGTGCTTTAGTTTTGATCCCATCTCAGTATTTACTATGTATATGTAATACAAAGTCTGAAAAAATTAAAATCATATACATTTCCCAAGCAATTTGGGTAGAGGATAGTCAGTACATTTTCTTTGTAATCTACCCATCAGATCTCAGCATATTCATTTTATATGAATATGTGGAGCTTTGTACCCCTTGCTGTAGTACACCAGAAGTTGTATGATGTCTGCTGTCCTTCATTTAGTAAAGGCTGATCAATAGGTTTCGATGCATCTGGTAGAGTTTCCTATCAGTACCACCTAGGAATTTTATCGTCTACTGTTCTGTATCCACCCTTTCACTGGGATTTTAAAGGGTGTTTTCTTTAAATTATAGTTTACATTTTGTGGTAGAGGGCGTAAAACCCCACAGCTTGTGCAGTGCTTTATCAAAGGACAGTGTCCCAAATGCTGAATAAAAGAAAAATATGTATAAGATTTATTAACTAAAATACCTCACCATTATTTGGTTTACAAGAGCCATAACTTATACTAGAGCAACAAGGTAGAAGTTTGCTTTTTTTCTTTACAAAAAATAATTTTTATTGTAAAAAGCTAGTGCCTAACAACTATCATTTTATCATTTTAAAGGATCACTATTAACTCATGGGCTTTATGTGTTTGATTAGCTTTAATCCATTACAGTCATTTTCCTTCTGATGTGTAAATTGTTCTTTTTTTAATGATGTGCTTGTGATTTATTATATATGCATACATATGTACATATAAACATATATCATTTATATAAAACAAATATAACACACATATATGTGTTTGAACTTATTTTACACTGTTTTATCATTCATATTTTATTCATTTGTGTGAGTTAAAGTACAGATTAATTGGCTTTGCCATGAATTGTCCTATTTTTGATCAGCTCAAACAGCCTCATATTGGTTCCTGTGCTCTTTTAATGTACCCTAATCTTTCTTGCTTTGTGATGCCAGTTGCTCTAGACATACTAACTCATTCTAGTCTAGAAATGTAATTACCACTCTAATAAATCTGTAGAATTTAGTTATAGTCACATGAACCATTATTATCATGGGAAATGGTGTCTGATACTTTGGTCTAGAGTGGGGTGCTCATTGCTGTTTCTGCTTCTAATTCTTTTCAGTAGACAAAGCTGTTAGAAGAGTAATCATGAGTTCATGATATTTCCAGTTAGCATTATTGAATTTTTCTTTGCATTTATGCTTTTGTCTCTTTATTCTGAAATGCTGGTTTCTAATCATATTTATTTATTTATTAGTTTGGTTATTGTGTTGGCTAAGTTTTGTCTCTGTGATAAGACACCTGAGCACACCTGGGTAAGAAGGGCTTTTTATCCATCCATATTCAGAGCTTTCAGCCCATGGTCAGTTGTCTCCACAGCCTCTGGGTGCCTGCATGGTGAGACAGAAGATTATGTTTGGGAGGAGAAAAGTAGCAGAGAGAATGACATAAGGATACAAGAACAAGATAAACTCTTCAAGGTCCTGCTACTTTGTGACTTCCTTTCTCTAACAATGTCTTGCTTCCCAATGGCCCTGGAGCTCTGAACTCATCAGTTAATTGACCCATGCAAAATCTCAGTAATGTTTTCCCTGGGGACCAAGCCTAAGCACATGAGCTTTGTTTGAGGGGTATTCACCTCTAAACCATAACAATTATGCTTAACTTGTTAAGCTTCTCTTATCTTTGTTTCTGCCAAAGTCATAATGCTAATATTGCTGCTGACAACTGAAAGCATTTTTGTATTCCTTATTTTATGGTGAGGCTTTTTATAGTGTCAGGTAGTATATATTGGAAACTTGGTTGCTCAGTGTTTCTTCTAAGTCTATTTTTTATCCTCATGGCAACTCTTTGAGGTGCATCATTTATCAAAAGCTTAGATCCAGAGTTGTTGAGGAACAACTTTTAAATTTACATTTTCATTTATGAATTAATAAACCCTTATGAAGATTATCAAGCTTACCAAACTATACCAAAGACCACAGTAAGGCAAAGAAACATTTGTTATACGTCGCCTTGATATTTGAGAAAAATTTGGAAATCTCTTGTTTATTACAATTTTAATATGCAAATGTAAGAACATGGAACCAGACCAGGACTATATTCCATTAAACTCTTATTAGATTATAAGTTATGGCTCTATTGATCATTTAATTTTCAAGAAACATTTAGTAATTTCAGCTAAGGTAAGACCCTCTCGGTCTTTGACTTAGAGTACTTTGTTTTGTACATTTGTGCTGTGTTTCTGAATACAAATGAGATCCTGTATTCTGCCTTTGTTCATAAATTATAGTAAAGTTGATTATTGAAAATGGCGAATGTTTGAAAAGAACTCTGTGAGGTGAATTATTTTATTTCCAACTGTTTTAAAACCAAACCAGGATCTGGAGTGATGGCTCAGGGGTTAACAGCACTGACTGCTGCTCTTCCATAGGACCAAGGTTCAATTCCCAGCACCTACATGGCAGTTCACAACACTCTGTATTTCCAGTTCTAGGGGACCTAACACCCATGGCAAAGCAAAACAACAGCAACAACAACAACTACAACAACAACAAAACCCACCAATGAACATAACATAAAACAATGAATCTAAACAATTTGTATAAATTAGGAAAGGTTAAAGTCTGGGTTTAAGCCTTTGTAAGACCTGTTTGGAATGTTTGTTACTCTTCTGGTAGTTATTTTCCAGTTTCCCCAGAATATTCCATAGAGACTCTCTGACTGCTGTGCCTGGTGTTGTCTACAATACTTTGAACAGTAACAACAAAACACCACCACCTGGTTTTTCTATAAAAATAGTGCACACTTTTGTTATGAAATTTTGTTGTGTAACCAGTTAATAATTCTCTCTTTAGAATTCCATGGCCAATTAAATCCTTTTCTTCCAACAGGAAGCTGCTTTAAAGCATAGACAAGAGTTGTGCATACAACCACCTTCTCGCGGTTTCTGCACCGACCTTCTTAGAGAGATAGGAGCTGTTGGTTGGGATAAGTATGTCTATTTAAAAATATGTCTTTGAAATGCCTTTGGTTTACACATTGCAGCTTTCTGTGTTTCTAGTTGTCACAACTTAGTTTTGTGCCTGCTTTTACTTGGTGTTTTGGTGTAAAGTGTCAAATCCTGATCCTGATTGTTGCTGTCAGTTCCAGACGGAGTATTTTGAAATAGTAACTTGAAAAGCTTCATGTGATTTGAAAAAATGGCATTTGATTCGAATAATGAGATTTATCTTAATAGGAATTTTCATTAGTTGTGCCTAACAGTATTCTAAATGTACTATATGTTTCATGTTTAAAAGTAATGCTGGGTATTGGGTTGATGCTCAGTGAGTAGAGTTTCCCTCTGTAAGCATTAAAGCTATGAAAGTACTGAGTGGGTAGGTTAGGTGATATGGAACAAGTTGGCCAGCTAGACTAGCCTAATCAGTGACCTTTGACCACAAAGGATCACCTCTCCTTCACTAAGTAAGATAGAGTGCTCTTGAAGAAGAAATACAGCACCAGCATCCAACTTCCACAGCATGTACACACGTAAGTACATATGCCTACATCACACACACATACACACACCAATATATAATACTAATAAATGTGAATGCTTTTGTACTTTCAGCAGTAAATCTTGCTTTCTCTGAAGAAAATAATGAATAATGCAATTTAAAGGCATGCTGGGTGTTGTGTCATATCTTAATTCCAGTACTTGGAAGGCAGAAGCAGGTGAATCTCTGTGAATTCTAGGACAGCCAGGGTTATGTAGAGAGACCCTGTTTCAAACATGGGGGAAAAAAAGAAAAGAGAAATTTAAAAGAAATGTAGATGGAAATATAAATTGTTGAAACTTCATCCTGACATCACCTAGAAAAAAATGTCTGGGGATTTCTGTGATTTTGCAGTTGCTGAATTCAATTCTTAGTGTGGACATTTAAAAACATTACATTTTGTTAGTAAGTATGTTATCAGCTTTCTGCTAGAGCTGAAGCATCAGTGTGGACAGGCAGTTTAGTTGTCAGTTTGTACCTGCCACGAGCGCTGCTTCAGTGTTTATTTATTATTTCAGTTCAGGGTTCCTTATTACTAAGATAAATCAAAGACTGACTTCAGTTAACACTTAGAGAGTGGAATTTTTAACCAGCAAGTTTTTCTGAATGTATTTAAGATGTTTCATTATTCTTATGTATGTTGCTTCTTAGCTGTTTTCTAAGTTGGCCTTTTGACCACTCATTTAAAGAAGCCAAACATCAAATAGCATTTTAATAAGAAGCAAAGAGCCCATCATAGGTAGAAAATATAATTCGCTCTCTCCTCCAGTTGAGCAAGATGTCCAAAGGAAAGAAAGCCAAGGGGAAGAAGGTGACCTTGGCTCCTACCATTGGGAAGAAACAGGAGGCCAAAAAGGTAGTGAATCCTCTATTTGAGACAAGGCCTAAGAACTTTCGCACTGGGCAGGACATCCAACCCCAAAGAGGTTGCACACACTTCCTCAAATGACCCTGCTACATCAGGCTGCAGAGGCAAAGGAAAGTGCTCTATAAGCGGCTTAGTGTACCCCTGCCATTAATCAGTTGCTCCCAGCCCTGCACCAGCAAACAGATACCCAGCTGCTTCTGCTTGCCCATAGCTGCAGGCAGGAGAAGAAGCAAAGGCTGCTGACCTGTGATGATAAGATGAGAAGAAAGCTGCTGGCAAAGGGAATGTCCTAACTAGGAGACCACAAGTCCTTTGAACAGTGGTCAGTACATTCACCACCTTGGTAGAGAACAAGAATTTCAGTTGGTGGTGACTACCCATGACACAGACCCTGCTAACCTGGTGATTTTCCTGCCTGTCCTTGTGTCATAAGATAGGGTTCCCATACTGCATCACCAAGGGAAAGGCCAGGCTGGGGTGGCTGGCCCACAGGAATACATGCACCACTGTTGTCTTCACACAGGTTTACTCAGAAGACAAGGGTGCTCTGGCTAAGCTGGTGGAAGCAATTAGGACCAATTACAGTGACAACTAAGATTAGATCTGCCACCACTGGGGAGGCAATTCCCTGGGTCTAAAAGACCGAGAGAGAGAGCATGCTAATTAACAAAATCAGAAATGAAAAGGGGGACATAACAATGGACACTGAGGAAATCCAGAGAATCATCAGGGCATACTTTGAAAATCTGTACTCCACAAAATTTGGAAATTTAAAGGAAATGGACAATTTCCTTGATAGATATCACTTGTCAAAACTAAATCAAGAACAGATAAACAATCTAAACAGACCTATAAACCTTAGTGAAATAGAAGCAGTCATCAAAAGTCTCCCAAACAAAAAAGCCCAGGCCCAGATGGCTTCAGTGCAGAATTCTACCAGAAATTCAAAGAAGAGCTAATTCTAATACTCCTCAAAGTATTCCACACAGTAGAAGCAGGAGGCTCACTGCCAAACTCTTTTTACGAGGCTACAATTACCTTGATACCCAAGCCACACAAAGACACAACTAAGAAAGAGAACTATAGACCAACTTCCCTCATGAACATTGATGTAAAAATACTCAATAAAATACTTGCAAACCGGATTCAAGAACACATCAGAAAAATCATCCACCATGATCAAGTAGGCTTCATCCCAGGAATGCAGGGATGGTTCAACATTAGAAAATCTATCAATGTAATCCACCATATAAACAAACTGTGAAAGAAAAACCACATGATCATCTCATTAGATGCTGAAAAAGCCTTTGACAAAATCCAGCACCCCTTCATGATAACAGAGAGATCAGGGATAACAGAAACATATCTGAACATAATAAAAACAATATACAGTAAAACAAACAGCTAACATCAAACTAAATGGAGATTAACTCAATGCAACTCTCTCCATATCTTTTCAATATTATACTTGAACTTCTAGCTAGAGCAATAAGACAACAAAGGAGATAAAGGGGATACAAATAGGAAAAGAAGAAGTCAAGCTTTCACTATTTGCAGTTGATATGATAGTTTACATAAGTGACCTGAGAAACTCTGCAAGGGAACTCCTAGAGCTGATAAACACCTTCAGCAAAGTGGCAGGATACAAGATAAACTAAAAAAAAAAAAAATCAGTGGCCCTATTATATACAGATGATGAAGTGGTTGAGAAAGAAATCAGAAACATCACCCTTTACAACAGCCATAAACAGTATCAAATATCTGGGGATAATGTTAACCAAGGAAGTGAAAGACCTGTATATCAAGAACTTTGACTCCTTAAAGAAAGATATCAAAGAGGATATCAGAAAATGGAAAGATCTCCCATGCTCTTGGATTGGTAGGATCAACATAATAAAAATGGCAATCTTGCCAAAAGCGGTCTACAGATTCAATGCAATCCCTATCAAAATTCCATCACAATTCTTCAAGGACAAGGAAAGAACAATAATCAACTTTATTTGAAAAAACAAAAGGCCCAGGATAGCCAAAACAACCCTATACAATAAAGGGACTTCAGGAGGTATCACCATACCTGACTTCAAGCTTTATTATAGAGCTATAGTCCTGAAAATAGCTTGGTATTGGAACAAAAATAGACAGGTATACCAATGGAATCTAATTGAAACCCCTGATTTTAATCCACACACCTATGAACACTTAATTTTTGACAAAGAAGCTAAAACTATACAATGGAAAAAGGAATGCATCTTCAACAAATGGTGCTGGCATAACTGGGTATTGGCATGCAGAAGACTGCAGATAGATCCATGTCTATCCCCTTGTACAAAACTTAAGTCCAAATGAATCAAAGATCTCAACATACATCCAACCACACTGAAACTTTTAGAAGAGAAAGTGGGAGATACTCTTCAATGAGTTGGTACAGGTGACCACTTCCTGAACATAACACCAGTGGCTCAGACACTGACATAGACAATTAATAAATGGGACCTCCTGAAACTAAGAAGCTTCTGTAAGGCAAAGGACACAGTCAACAAGACAAAAAGGCAGCCCACAGAATGGGAAAAGATATTCACTAACCCCACGTCTGACAGAGGGCTAATCTCCAAAATTTACAAAGAACTCAAGAAACAAGTCTCCAAAACACCAAAGGATCCAATTAAAAGTTGGGGTACAGAACTAAATAGAGAATTCTCTATAGAGGAGGCTAAAATGGCCAAGAGACACTTAAGAAAGTGCTCAACAGTGTTAGCCACCAGGGAAAAGCAAATCAAAACAACTTTGAGATAATATCTTACTCCTGTCCGGATAGCTAAAATCAAAACACCGAAGACAATTTATGCTGGAGAGGATGTCGAGAGAGGGGAACAATCCTCCACTGCTGGTGGGAGTGCCAACTCGTACAGCCACTTTGGAAATCAGTATGGAGATTCCTCAGGAAAATGAGTATCAATCTACGACAAGACCCAACAATTCCACTCTTAGGCATGTATCCAAAAGATGCAAATTCATACAACAAGGGCATCTGTTCCACTATGTTCATAGCAGCATTATTTGTAATATCCAGAACCTGGAAGCAACCTAGATGCCCCTCAATGGAAGAGTGGATAGAGAAAATGTGGTACATTTACACAATGGAGTATTACTCACCAGAAAAAAACAATGGACTCTTGAAATTTGCAGGTAAATGGATGGCACTAGAAGAAACCATCCTGAGTGAGGTAACCCAGTCACAAAAAGAAAACCATGGTATGTACTCACTCATATATGGATTTTAGACATGGATCAGGATAGTGCCAGTCTGCACTTCCACTGACAGAGAGTCTGGGAAACAGGAAAGAACATAAAAGAGATATGCATGGTACCCAAGAGAAGAGAAATGAGGCAAGATCCTCTGAACAGATGGGGAACATGGCGAGGGGTGGGGGGGAATGGGAGCTGGGAAGAAGAGATGGGGAGAAGAGGAAGAGAGAGTAGGTCATGGGGGAACAGGAAGGTTGAGTGGGGGGTAGAATAGGGGGAAGAGGGAATCATAAGTTAGAAGACAGATCTGGCACCAGTGAGACCTCTAGTGATCTAAAG